CCCCCCGCAGAATCACCCTGACCCAAAACCTCTGACCAGGGACCCTCGTCTAAACCGCTCTGCCCAGCCTGCTGCCCCCCAGGTCAAAGAGCAGCCTACTCTGAAAAAAGACACACCTGCGGTGACAGGAAGTCCCGCCCTGACACCAGAGAAACGCCCGCTGGAGAAGTCCACTCGTCTGGACAGATCCAAAACCCAGAAGAAAGAGTCAGTGGAGGACAAGCCCAAATCCAAGTCTCTTTCTCCAACTGCCAAACTGGTCCAAAGCAAAAGTAAACCGTCGGAGACGGAGAAGTCTTCTGATGACTCCAAGAAAGATCACAGGCCCAAGAAACGGCCGCAGGACAAGACCGCAGAGGCCAAGGAGGACGAGCAGAAGGAGAAGAGGAGGTGCAGTGACAAGAAGGACAGGGAGGAGGTGTCGTCAGCACAGGATCTTCAGAAGTCTGGTAAAGGCAAAATGATGAACGGTTTGACCGCAAAGCGTGACCTCGACGATTCTGCCGACAAGTCGGACTTCAAGAGTGGAGGCAGTGCACGAACACATTCCAGAAAACGCACGCGCTCACGGTCCCGCTCACGCTCGCCCAACTCTTCACCGAAGCGGAAGGAAAGACGCTCACCCAAGGGTAGAACCCGAAGCAGCTCGCCATCGCCTCACAAGAGCGGGAAACCAAGGAGGCCGCGGGCAGACGAACATGGTAAGACGGGCCGAGATGACCGTCTCCTACTCAGAAAGACCCAGTCGGACAACAGGAAGTCCAAGAGTCGCTCAGAGACCAGGGACTCTCACTCACCACTCAGTGCCAAGGAGACCAAGGACGGCACACATCGATGGAGGAGCGGCTGGGAGGACAACAAACAGTAAGTTATCAAAGAACAAACTTCAACAATGACACTGATCTGAAGATCGGTTGTTAGGAGAGGCCGACAGAGACGGAGAAGTTAATCTGACAAATGTATTAGACAAATCTGGGCTGTTTATTGGCCAGAATCTGATGATGCAGTTGTAGCGATACGATATACTGTGATACTACAGTCACGACGATGTAGACAGTGTTTGTTTCCCCCCCAGTGTAGCTGTAGTCCCAGTGTGATCCTAGTCTCAGACTCTGTTCCATCTGAACATCAGTTCCTAACTCTGGAACAGAGGGATCTACATTTGGAATCACTAGAGAAGAAAGAAAAGAACAAGAACATGAACCAACACCAGGAATGTTGATACGGGATCAGGAGAGGAGAGATCACTGGATCACAGGCTCTTGTGTTTCCCTGTTTGTCTTTGAATGCACTTCATCTTTCATGTCCTTTCACAGCACCTCCAAGTCGTCAGAGGACACGCACCTGAAACCTGGCCCTCAGAGACACAAACCGTACAGCGCCCCAAGCCGACCATCCACCCCCCGTACTCCAAAACATCGGCTCAGCGTTGACGCCAACCTGCAGATCCCAGACGTCCTCAACTCTGCCTCCAAGAAGGATCTGCTCAGAAAAGTACTTCACACTGGCTCCTGGATTAAAAACAAAAATGATGTGTGTGATGACTCAACAAATACTCACTTGTGTTCTTGTCTGCAGGCCAGCAAGCGTCTGGAGAGCGGTGAGATCTCCCAGGAGGACTTCCTCAGCGTGGTGCACCGGATCAAACACTTCTTTCAGTATCAGGAGGAGAAGCAGCAGCGCTCCGAGAGCTGGGATGACTCTGCCGATGACTTGGCCTCCAACAATCAGTCTCCTCAGACGGATCCACCCTCCTCCAAGTCCCGCCCCCGCGAGGCCATGGACCCAGCAGAGCTTTCTTACTATGAACACAAGTCTAAGCTGAGGAAAACGCAGGTGGCCCACCGAGTGGCCAAGCAGGAGTGGGAGGGTGAGGACAAGCCGGAGGACGGCGAGAGAGAAGCGCCGGAGGAGAAGACGGGCAGCGGCCGCACCCCGAGCCACCCCCCACCTCACAAATACAGACCAGGTGAGTGGAGCGGGACCAGTCTGAAGGTCCGGGTCTACACAGCACAGGGGTGGTCCCTGGACAACGCTGACCTTTGTTTCTTCCTGACACCTGCAGATGAGCGACGCAGTAAAGAGCGGGAGGATCCGCGACCTCCAACTGGTCCAATGATTGAGGAGTACAACCACGGAAAAGAGTTCCCCTCACTGAAGTCCCTGCAGGGTCTGCGCTTCATCCGAAAAGTCGACCCCAGAGAGTCCAGTAAGTTCTACAGGACGTTTGTTTGTTTGTTTGTTTACACACGAAGCAGTGAGAGTTGGTGATGTCATCAAGGTCATCTTATCTGGAGTTCAGTGAAGGTCACCTGAACAGACGTCGTCTTAATCTGGGAGTAAATGGAACTTTGTTCTACAGTTTCCTTTTTTTCTCCGTCTGTGACAAACGCCACTGTCTGTTGTGAACACCCAGCATGGGTTGACTCGACCAGGTTTTGTGAGAGAGGGCGCTGTACTTGTCTTCTTTATAGTTTTGTCGTCTGTTTTCTCCAAAGTCGACCTGTTTCCTGTCACGTGACCCGTTTGTCTCTGTTGTTTCCAGGTGAGAGAGAGTGGAACTCCCCACTGACTGAACGTCAGCGCGACGAGCAGAAAAGCGGTTATGATGCTCCGCGCCGGTACCCCGTCGACGCCAGACAATCAGATCCTCGGAGACCTGAAATTGCCCTCCCCCATGGGACCGTGGTCCACAGGAACTGTCCAAGTCCAGGCAGCGTGGATCAACCTGTGCCGCGGTTCGAGCGTGAACGTCTCTCGCCCATCCACCAGAAGGATTCGACAGAGATGAGCCCCATCCCTCGGTTTGAGAGTCCCAACAGTGAACACTCTGACGACGCCCCCCTCAGTCTGGACGCCCCAGCTCCACACCCCCACCTTCCACCCAAGTCCATCCTGAAGAGGGGAGGTCCTCTGTCCGCCGTACGACAGCACAGTAACTCCCCGGGACACACGCCGCCTCATGAACCTGGACCCCCCCTACAGCGCTTTGATGGACCTGATCCCATGGTCCCACCTAGACCCCACCCTCCTGGCTGGTATGAAGACGGGCCTCACCTCCAGGGGCCTGGCAGGTTTGATGGAGGCAGACCGCCTCTCCACAACGTCCTGGAGCGGTTTGACGGACCGGACGGCCCACACATGCCTCACGGCCTGGTGAGGGGCGGGGATGGTATGGGCAGGTTTGACGGACACCCTCCCCCTCAGGGCCCCGGGAGGTTTGAGGGTCCTATGGGCCAACAGCCCCCGGTACGGTTCGCCAACCAGGGGCCGGGACCCAGCCATTTTGATCCACAACACTGTTTTGAAAACAGCCTGGCCCCCGGTCCTGGACCTCTGGGCTTCCAACAGCAGCGGCCTGTGCGCTTTGATGGCCCCCCCAACCAGTTGGGCCCGATGAGGTTCGAAGGCCCCAGTCGATTTGACGGTCCAGCCCCCAGGTTCGACTCTCACTTTGAGGGGCAGCAGGGCCCCCCCAGGTTCCCTCCCCAACACAACATGCAGCCCCCCATGAGGCCGATGGGCCAGCCCGTTTATGATAACCAGATGGTGCCGCAGCAGAACTTCAACATGGGCCCACAGCGTTTCCCAGAACCCATGAACCCCACCTTCCCCACGGGACCAATGACGTTCCCAGCACAGCCCAGTCTGCAGCAGGGGAACTTCAACATGCAGCCGGCAGCCGCCTTCAACCAGTCGGGCCCCGTCCCTTTCTACAACACCGCTGCCCCCAGTGTTGGCATGCAGCAGCCGGTGAGTGACTCAGCTGTCAATCAAACACTGTCTTTGTTGTCGTTGCTTTGGTTATATTTTCAGTACAATAACATTTCAATGGGAACAAAGAAGGTCAGGTCACGTGACCAACAAACGGTTAACAACGACAGTGTGTCGCCTCTGAATCTGTCGATTTGATACGTATCACGATACAGAGGTGACGATACGATATGTTGTGATATATTGTGATACTATAGTCAGGACGATATATTGAGGTGAAGAAAAACCAACACCAGGAATATTGGACTGGGAATTGGTGATGAAAGATCAATAACTGATCAATGACTGAGGAGATTGATACGGGATCAGGAGAGACTTCAGTGTAGTTGATGTTTTCTTAAACCCATTCATGACATGAACTTAATCACTGCTGATGTCATCACTGTCAGGTGAACCTGATGGGGAACATGAACCAACCCTTCCTGCCTCAGAACACTGCCCCTTTCAGACCCCAGGGTAAGTGCAGACACCGACCAGCAGCCGCAGCAGCCGTGACACGTGACTTCCTGTACTCACTGGTGTTTTATTTTTTTGGTGTGGTTCAGTACCACAGGTGGGGGTGCCTCCAGAAAACCACTTTGGTCAGGTGGACGTCAACGATCTTCTCTCCAAACTCATCTCCAACGGCATCATCAAACCCTCGCAGCCTGAAGCCGTCGTGCCCGTGGGCATCGGTCAGTCTGTCCATCTTTTTAAAGCAATCCCTAACTTTAGCATCCATGTCATTTCACTGATGGAAACAAACTGTGAACATCCCACAGAACCCACGGCTGCAGCTCCTGCTGCTGCACCAGCGGTCGAGGAGGAGGAAGAGGAGGACCAGGAGGAGGAGGAGGAAGATGTGCCTGACCTCACCAACTTCACTCTGGACGAGCTCAAACAGTGAGTAGAGACAAAAGTCCACATGTAACTCTGTCAAACAGAAAGCAATACTACCATAAACCAGCAGGTGGAGCAGGTGAGCCGGAGCCTCCACAGGCAGTCAATGTTCTGACCAATCAGAAAGCTGTGTTGGGTGAAATGTTGTTGTGCTCTGTAGTTTGTTTCCCGATCGTTTTCTGTTTCTGACAAGTCTGTCATTTGTACACGGTCCCTAACGCTCTGGTCTCTCTGCTGCCCCTACAGGCGCCATGAGAGCGTGGTGACCAAACTGTACTCAGGAAATCAGTGCTGTCTGTGCAGCATGAGGTTCACTGCAGCGCAGACTGACATGTACGCCGACCACCTGGACTGGCACTTCAGACAGAACCACGCTGGGAAGGTGGCCAGCAAGAAAATCACACACCGCCGCTGGTACTACACCCTGACGGTGAGAAGACCACTGTGATGTCATCACACGCTGCTCCCAACAACATGATGAGTATTAGGAATAACTGTGTGTGTGTGTGTGTGTCAGGACTGGATTGAGTTTGAGGAGATCGCTGACCTGGAGGAGCGAGCAAAGAGTCACTTCTTTGAGAAGGAGAACGAGGAGGAGGTGCAGAAAAACCAGGCGGCAGCGAAGGAGAAAGAGTTCCAGAGCGTCAGAGCCGCCAAGGACCAAGTAGGAGAGGTGAGGGACCAATCAGGAAGCAGCACAGAGCCAGGTGTAATTAGTGCGGTGAATGTCTTGGCTGTGATTGGCTGATCGTTGTTTGTGTGTTTGCAGTTGTGTGAAATCTGTCAGGAGCCGTTTGAGACGTACTGGGTGGAGGAGGAGGAGGACTGGTTCCTGAAGGACGCCGTCAGAGTGGACGACAAGGTGACCACGACACCACAGGCACACAAACACAACAGTAACAACCACACATGAAGACACAGGTGATGTCATGTACAGTTAGCACTGTAGGTGGCAGCAGTGAGGCCAGGACAGAGGCGCTCCAATACAAACGGCTGATTTAGTTCTGCTGTTGGCAGCTTTGATACATGCACAGATGGTGGTCTAACTGTGACCACCATGTGGTGCTGTGTTGTCATTTCCTGACTGTGACCTTTAACCTTTGACAGCAGATTGACAGATGTTTATTTTGTGTTTGCAGAACTTCCATCCTTCCTGTTTTGAGGATTATAAAAACGTGAGTGAACCGTTCTGATTGGTTAAAGTGGAGTCACTCATTGATTCTGATTATTGGTCATTAACCTGTTGGAGGCGCTGTTGTTTTTCTACAGACGTCGTACGTCGACGTGACGCCTTCACCCAAAAAGCTTCTGACTGACCACCCACTCAGCGCCTTTGTAAAGATGGAGGAGGAGGAGAGCGCGTGCACTTCCTGCTCCGCCCCTGACACTGACTCGGTCAAACAGGAAGTGGCTGCGGAAACTGCTGAGGTTCCTTTTGTCAAGGAAGAGGAGGAGGTTTTAACAGAAGTGCAATCTGAGAACACAGCGTAACCCCGCCTCCTCCACTGCTGCTGCTGAAGCTCCGCCCACTGCCACCTGTCCTGATTTTTGGAGGGATGTTTTAGAGCGTGGGTGAAGCCTGGAGTAACTTAGCGTCAATACATTTTTGTATTTGGATTGTTGCGTGACCATTTCAGGTCGAGAACTGTGTGTGAACTGAAGCTGTAAATGATTTAATTTATAAATTAAAGTATTTTTGGTAAATTTCTGGTCTAACAGTGGTTTTACGTTGAAGTAAGGTTTTATGGAGGGCTGGAGTTTCTGGCTGTGTTCAAGGTAAGCATCACATGTTCAGACAGCTGGAGACTCCGCCCACTTGGTCCCATTGGTTCCCACTGAGGTTTTGCAGTCATTTGTTTTTCTTAGTTTTCAATAAAAATATAATAAAAGTGTTTTGTCTGGATGACGACTTCATTTCTAATAAAAACTGGTTTAAACTGAAAATATTTTCCTGTCTTATTTGGTGAAACTTTGGGTCACGGTAAAATATAGAATTTTAACATGTACTAAGTCCAGTTCATGAGAGATTCTACAAAATGGAATAGGTCAAAGGTCAGATCAACCTTTAATACAAATGTATTTAAAATAAAAAGTAACTCTAACAACATGAAACAGTAACGTGTCACTTTCCTGACAAAGGATTTTATTATTTCATGAAATGAGCTTCGCTACACACCAGCAGGGGGCACTATATCACCCGTCATACACAGTAAAGGGAAAGTGAAGGGTCCAGTTCCATGGTTTTCCTTTTTTTCAGTCCTGGTCCTTGTCTGGTCTGGTACTGTTTCAGTCCAGGTACATTTGTCCTTTCATCACCTCCAGAATCTGTAAACGACCAGAGCGGTGACCAGGCAGGAGAACTTTCCCCCTGAGGAGGACAAAGACAAAGACAAATGTCCTGAAGCACAGCAGCTGATCAGCTCCTTCACTGTGTGTGTGTGTGTGTGTGTGTGTGTACCTGCCAGGTAAATGACCGTCTCCAGTTTCAGAGATTCCAACAGAGTTTTGAGTGACGCCACCTGCAGGTCGATCTTCTTAGTGATCTCCATGTTGTCATTTTCCAGGTCCACTTTCTGGCCAATGAGAGACAAATCATGTCAGTGACGTCAGAATAATGGACTCCATACTGATACTACTGCAGTACAGTCTCACCTTGTGGTGAAACTCTGTCATGACCTCCATCAACCTTTTTTCCTGTTCAGTGAACTGACAGAGAGAACAAATTACATGCGATGCCTTCACTGACCACCTGATCTGTGTGCATTAATTTTACAGTCACGGTGCATTCACTGACCATATCAAAGATCCTGCTGCTCTCCAGGTTGATGTCTAGTTTTGTTTCAGCTTGGACTTTTTCACTCTCCTCCTAAACAACAACCAGATGCTGTTACTTTTTGAAACACGGAAACGTCCTGACTTACACCTGACTTAAACCTGACTTAAACCAGACTTAAACCAGACTTAAACCAGAATTAAACCTGACTTAAACCAGACTTACACCTGACTTAAACCTGACTTAAACCTGACTTACACCTGACTTAAACCAGACTTAAACCAGAATTAAACCTGACTTAAACCAGACTTACACCTGACTTAAACCTGACTTAAACCTGACTTAAACCTGACTTAAACCAGACTTACACCTGACTTAAACCTGACTTAAACCAGACTTACACCTGACTTAAACCTGACTTAAACCAGGCTTACACCTGACTTAAACCAGACTTAAACCAGAATTAAACCTGACTTAAACCAGACTTAAACCTGACTTAAACCTGACTTACACCTGACTTAAACCAGACTTAAACCTGACTTACACCTGACTTAAACCAGACTTAAACCTGACTTAAACCAGACTTAAACCTGACTTAAACCTGACTTACCTTCAGTCTCCTCTGGAGCTGCTCCAGCTCTCGCTTCATCTTCTGAACAAGAGAAATAAAACACACTCTGTTGAAGATAATAAAAACCTGCCGTTTCATCAAAACTTTACCGTCTGTTTTTTTTACCGTGTTTTCTGAGCGCAGGTTTGCAAAATCGCTCTTCTCCAGGATCACCATGTCCTTCCTGATGGAGTCCAGATGAGCCATGATCTGCTGCACAGCGATCTCCTGAACCACACACACACACACACACACACACACACACAGATGAGGACTCTGCTGGGACACGGACCTGAACATGGCCGCAGGTCCTCGTCCTACCTGGTGAGACTTAGTGACCATGTCCTTGTAAACGATGTCCATGTTGGCCGTGGTCAGCGTGACCAGGGCGGAGACGATGAGCTCGGCCTGTTGCTTCGTGAAACCTGAGAGGAGACAAAGACGATGAGAACAGCAGCGTTCCTTCATCTCTCTGGTCACCACTCACCGCTGGTCACCGTCTCCTCACCGCTGAGGCTCAACTCTGTCACCATGGTGTGGGAGTCAAAGGTCAGTTTTCGTTGTTCCAGTGGCATCAGTTCAACTTTTCTCAGGTCAAAGGTTGACACGGACACTGACCCATGCAATTCACGGAACGTTCCATCTGTACAACAACAACAACAACAACAACAACATATATCACACGTATCATGTATTAAAATGTATTTTTCATATATTATTTGTGTTCATTTTTATCCTCATGTGTAAACATACTGTAGTTCCTTCATTTCTCATTTTTAACATCTCATCACAGGTGAACGGTGTTATACCGCCTCCTGTTGTTCATTCTCTAACCCTAACCCTGAAGAACTTTAAGAACAGTTGTTTTTCTCTCTTGAACATAACAACGTCACCGTTAGTAAACTCACCTCTCCAGGTTCGGAGCTTCCGCAGATTTAACCTCCTCAGCGCGTTCATATCCGGGATGACCGTAAGTGTTTGTATGGACGTTATAAATGTGAATAAAAGTTATGTAGAAAAGTTGACAGCGCTGGTACCGGAAAATGAACCTGATCAGACCGGAAAATCAAGAGGCTTTCAGGGACACTCGGAATTATCTACACATTATCATCCACACAAAAACACGTTTAGGCGTTTTTTTAATTCGTCAGTGATACAAACGCACAAACCATTTCATACAGATATAAAAACAACATCAAGACATAGATATGATAACATAAAAATATAAATATATAAATAAATTGGCGATTATCGTTCGGTTTGAATTAGACTTAATTTTTTTTTCAAATATAAGTCATTTTAAAGAAGAATGGAGGTTGATTTTATCGAGTTCAACATTTAGAATGAAGAAAATTAACAATTTAATACTTTATTTTAGGACCAGAAGTTGTGTTGCGACTCCCGGAAGTTGTCAAAACTGTCATGGCGGCGCCTGTAGTGAACAGTTGTAACAGTCGAATTAACTGCTGGTTTCCAGTCTTAGCGCTGGGAGTTTCTCTGCTCAAATGTCTCTTCATCAACGCATAGTGAGTGAAAAGCACACGAATCATTATGACGACATACATTTACGTGTGACGTCACGATGTTTGTTTTTCAAACGAAAATGCTGTGCTCCTAGCATTCGGCTAAAATCTGGTCTAACTTCAACTCCTTGATCAATAATTCGAAGCAAAAGCGACTTTAACACCGATAAAGTTGATAGTAATTTGTTAAAAACTAACCCTGTTTCCTCTGTGTCCATGTGGTCATTTAAACCGTTTCCTTGTCGCTAATCACGACAGCGCTACTTTTTAAATGTCTGGACTGGAACAAGAAACGGTTCCGAAGGAAAGTTCTCAGTCGGTATTTTACAATAAATATAATTGTTTTCATCTGTATTTACGAGTAATTAAACATGAAATAAAATAATCATTGACTGGTTGTCAGGTTAAACCCGGTATTATTATTATTATTATTTATTTGTTCTATTTTAATGTGAACTTCTTTACCTTAATGTTTTCACATTAGTTTGAATAGTTTTTGAATTTGTACTTCTTTGAATTTTTGGTTTTTGAGATGTGTGTCTGTGTGTCAGTCATTCCACAGACTTCGAGGTCCACAGGAACTGGCTGGCCATCACACACAGTCTGCCTGTGTCCAGGTGGTACCACGAGGTCAGTCACATGTGTGTGTTTAACCAAAGTCTAATTCTGCTCCACTTCAATCTCTGCTCATTTTAATGGACGCCCTGGACGTCGGCTTCTGTTCTCAGAACACGTCCACGTGGACCCTGGACTACCCTCCGCTGTTCGCCTGGTTCGAGTTTGGACTTTCCCACGTGGCTCAGCACTTTGACGCCAACATGCTTCAGGTGGAGAATCTGAACTACGTCAGCGACGCCACCGTCGTCTTCCACAGGCTGTCGGTCATCTTCACAGACCTTCTCTACATCTGTGCTGTCAGAGAGTGAGTCAGCTGTCAGTCATGGTCTGTCAGTGTTTTCACTGGTCACCTCAGTGCTCCATGGTGTGTCTGGCAGCAGGGGGCGCTCCAAGTACAGGCAGCAGTGAATATTTGTTCTCCTCGATGATGAAGTACTCTCTGTTGGATTTACTGTAGTTTTAGTTGTAACGACTCACAAAACAGAACGAAGATGTTTGATGTTTGTAACCCTCCAGCAGCTGATCTCCTATTGGCTGTCCTGATCCAGGTGCTGCAGGTGCGTTCAAGGACAGAAAGGTTTCCGGGACGTTTTTAGTCAGCCGTCCTTCATCCTGGCAGTTCTGCTGCTCTTCAACTTCGGCCTCCTCATCGTCGACCGTATCCTTCAGTCTCTGAACTTCAGCTCGTCGGCGCCACCCTGTGGTCAAAGTGATTGTGTCGGTTCAACTACAGTCTTTAACACTGACTCAGACATTCATTTCCAGTACAACGGCTTCCTGTTTGGTTTCCTGCTGCTGTCCGTGGCCAGACACCTGCAGGTCACTAACCTGAACTACACTTTCACATGAACCATGAATTATTTGTGTTATGTTTTATATTCCTGAGATTATTGTGTGGAACAGTCTCAGCACCTACAGGGGGCAGTGCTGTTCTCCATCCTGCTCAACCTCAAGCACATCTACCTGTATGTGGCGCCGGCCTACGGCGGCTTCCTGCTCAGGAGCTACTAGCTCNNNGAGCTACTGCTTCACTCAGGACAACAAAGGTATCACACCACAGCAGAACACTAGGGGGCGCTCTCACACTGAGACTGATATATGTCATTATGTTCTTTATGTAACACAAGCTTTTATTTGTTTGGTTTGTTTTTAAACAGTTTTTTTTTCTTGTCCATCTGTTTCAGACGGTTCTTTACGGTGGAACAGTTTTAGTCTCCTACGATTTATGGCTCTGGGAACCATCGTTCTCTCTGTCTGCGCTCTGTCCTTTGGACCGTTCATCCTCATGGTGAGGAGATGACATCCTCCCTCTCTCTCTCCCTCCCTCTCTCTCTCTCTCTCACTCTTGTTTGTCTCTCTCTCTCTCTCTCAGGGCCAGCTGCCCCAGCTTCTGTCCCGCCTCTTCCCCTTCAAGCGCGGCCTCTGTCACGCCTACTGGGCTCCAAACTTCTGGTCCCTGTACAACATGGTGGACAAAGTCCTGACCAGCGTCGGTGAGACTCACACCTTGATGACGACAAACTGCCTTTTTCTGTCATTCCAAAGTCTGTAGAGAAAGTCACTGCTTTTCACTGCGGTAGATACTGGTGCACTGCTGCCCCCTGTGGTCAGTTTGTGTAAAGATGATACACATTTATGCTGTTTTCCGTCAGACCGACCGAGGAGAGTTCGATGTTGTTTATTTGTGTCGCAGGTGTTCGTCTGAACCTGCTGCAGGAGGCGGAGCTTCATCGGGCCTCGATGACGGGTGGATTGGTCCAAGAGTTCCAGCACGCCGTCCTGCCGTCCATCTCGCCGTCTGTCACGCTCGTCTGCACCGTGCTGTCCATCCTGGTGAGTCACAGAGATTCCCTGTCTGACCTCTTGACCCCTGTTGTCTCTCTGACCCTAACCTCCGTCTGTGTGAAGCCAGCGCTGACCGTCCTGTGGCTCCGCCCCCGCGGTTCCCGCCGTTTCCTCCGCTGCCTGCTGCTCTGCGCTCTCGGCTCCTTCATGTTTGGCTGGCATGTCCATGAGAAGGCCATCCTCATCGTCATTCTGCCCCTCGGGTCTGATGACATCACCTGGTGACATCATCACAGCGCCAACCGCGTCCTCCTGCTCTGGTTTGACCCGTTTGTCTCCTTTGTATCCTCAGTATCCTGGCGGTGGAGAGCAGAGAGGATGCTGGGATTTTCCTGCTTCTGAGCACCACGGGTCATTACTCTCTGTTCCCGCTCATCTTCACACCTGCAGGTAAAGCTAGGCATTACATTTCGGCCGCCACTTCCTGTAGCTTTTGGTCTTTAATGTTTGGGTTGGAACCAAAAACCGTCTTGTTTTTCAGAGCTGCCGATCAAAATCCTTCTGATGTTGATTTACAGCATTTACTCCTTCACTGCACTGAGGAAACTCCTGAGGTACACATGATTGGACACTAGTCTGACCACCTAACTGTACTGCATTGTTGACTCCATCTCCCAGAATGCTTTGAGGTTCTCAGGTAATCAGATTGTTCTCTGCTCCCAGTGGTCAGGGTCCTGTATTGCGCCCACTAGAGGTCGTCTACCTGATAGGTTTGGTTGGCGTGGCAGTGTTCTGCGAGGTTGTCTTCCCTCTGTCACCGTGGCACCAGAAGCTGCCTTTTCTCCCCCTGCTGTTGACCTCCGTGTACTGCGCCCTGGGCGTCAGCTACTCCTTCCTCAGACTGTATTTGACTCTGCTGAGTGGGACACAGCGGGACAAACCAAAACAGTCGTGAGGGGACACACGTCACAGTGAGTGTACGTGGGACCTACACAGACGGTGACCACCAGGGGGCAGAACTCTCAAAAGACATTTTTCTGGGTGTGATGACATCATCTGTTCACAAACATTGAACGTTTTTATTTTGTGGACCAAATAAGGAGGTGTTCCCAAACCACACTGGGATTATTGTGTTTGTTTTCTGAAAATATCAAATAAATTCACTCAAACCTGACACGTGGAATCAGACGTCAGAATCACGACGTGTTGTGGAAAAACCTCGTCAGAAATCATTTAAAGTAAATAAGGAAATAACAGCCTGTTTAGCATCAACTGTTAGCGTTAGCTTTCTGCTCCAGTTCTGTTCAAACGTGATCGTAGCTTTGGTCAAAGACACAGTCGGTGTTAA